CGTCCAGAGTCAGAGACACGTCCAGAATCAGAGACACGTCCAGAGTCAGAGACACGTCCAGAATCAGAGACACATCATCGTGACACCAGTGTGTACCAATGTTTATTATATATTGTTTACATGTATCGTCACCTCTTCCTCCTCAGAGCTGGCTGGCTGTGGCCGACCTGCAGCAGGAGGTGTACCGTCACCTGGCCACATATGTTCCCAGAATCCTTTGCCGTGGTGCGAGCGGGGGCAACAGCAGGGAGGAGCAGAGGGAGGAGCTTGCTTGTCAGCTCCTCCTCCTCGCTCCCCTGGAGTGGTTCCTGTTGGGGGAGGAGCCTGCAGCTGGCATTGCTTGGCTGCAGCAGAACAACCATCCGTCACCGCTGTGTGGTCACGTGTTCAAGGTTGGAGAACCCACCTACTCCTGCAGGTAAAATACATTCTGTCATGCCCGCCAATCACCAGGCCGCCAATCACCAGGCCGTCAATCACCAGGCCGCCAATCACCAGGCCGTCAATCACCAGGCTTCAGTTTCAGCCTCAGTGCAGTTTTTTTTTAAATGTAGCCAGAAACAAACAGACCAATCAGGTGCACTTACATCACAGTTCACAGCCACTGTTCAGGTAATTACCAAAATGTGTTTGTGTGTGTTTGTGTGTGTTTAGGGAGTGTGCAGCTGATCCAACATGTGTTCTGTGCATGCAGTGTTTCCTGGGAAGTGTTCACAAAGAGCATCGATACAGAGTGAGTGTACACACACACACACACACAAACACACACACACACACACACACAGTGTATGTACTAATACACAGTGAGTGCACTGAAGCTGCTGCTTCTGACAAGACAGGAAGTCCACTGTCTGCTGCAGGTGACGCTACGACATGACACACACACACACACAGACACACACACACACACACACACACACACTATATAAGTACACCCCCCCCCTCTCTGTAAATCCAGCAGAGGATCTCCTGCTGTGTTCTCACATACACTCCTCTGGACTTTCTGTGGACTTTGTACCAGACGGAGAAAGTTCACAGAAACTCTGGAAGCTCGAACATTTGTGATCACACATACACACCCTCTGGAGACACTGTGGAGGATCTCCAGAGTTCAGTGCAGATCTGAAAGCAACTACACAAAGAAGTGAGGTCCTCACAAACTCTCTCTCTCTCTGTGTGTGTGTGTGTGTGTGTGTGTGTGTGTGTGTGTGTGTGTGTGTGTGTGTGTGTGTGTGTGTGTGTGTGTGTGTGTGTGTGTGTGTG